GCTCCAATTTTAGGTCTGTGACTGGGTTCACAGGAGCCCACCTTTTGCAGTTTGTTACATAACAGTGCCCAGACATTGATGGCAATCAAGCCTCAGATGACCGAAGAGGTATTGGGGTGACCTGTCAAATGCAAGTTCACCAGAATCGTGAACCTGTAGTGCCTGTGTCCATAACCATTACCTGTCTTCATGGGACCCATTATCAGCCACAGCCAAGAGCAAAATCCCACTCCCAGGCTGGCTACATCTCACAACACCCCCTTTTTTGCAGGAGACACCCTCAGCGGTAAAAGAATGTGGCTGCTCAGCAGAGCACCGAGATGCCCAAACCCCAAATTCAAAGTGGGGTAGCTACAGGGGGGTTAAGGACCGTACGCCCTATTCCTCAATAGGTCCCATTAACACATCCAAAGCTATGCCAGGCATCGAGGTACCTTTGCAACAAGAGGGGAGGACATCCCTGGGCCTATAGGTTGTGTTCTTCTCTGAGCATTTAACACCTCCTAGGACAGGGGTGGGCAAAACGCAGCCAGGCCATCCTATCCGGCCCGCAGGGACTCTAAAAAATTTAGAAAATTACTATTTATCTCCCCTGGCAGCCCTCAATGGCTTGCCAAAACTCAGTAAGCAGCCCTCTGCCCAAAATAATGGCCCGCCCCTCTCATAGGGCTTTAATGAATGTGCCCCCTACGTTTAACAGGCACTGTCCTTTGAGAAGTGAAGGGCAGAGTAGCAGTTTTGGTCTGAACTGCCATGGATCCCAAGCAAGCAAGGAGATCAGGTCTGCCAAGGTGGCATGACTACCAACATCCCCCCCACTCTCCACCAACATCCCCCATCCTAATCTTCTCCCACTTCCCCCTACACCCTTCATAACTCCCATTATATATTATCATGGTGTGATGCTCCTGCCACCCACAATGTTCATAGTCCCATCACCCACTGCGATTGTGCTTCAGTCACCCACTGTGGTGTGGCTTTCCCTCCCCCTGCTTTCCTCGGCCAGACCCATTTGCCCCCTCCCCACCCCTCCCCATCAGCAGCAATGTTGGGACAAGGAGCCAGGGGCAGAAGTGCAGCAGGTGCTAAGTTTTCCATTGTGGCGGGGGGGCGGTCTTTGGGGATCTGGTAAGAGGGGAAACCATGAAAGTATTGGTTAGGGTACGTTTGAACATGTCAGGCTAAATGCCCTGTCTTTCTCCCAATTGCCCTCTGGTTGTGCATTACTTGACAGTGGCTGATGCATCCACACCAAGGCCTCCAGAAGGATGTTTACTGCATGGGTATTTTCACAGAAGGCTTGGGGACATATCGCTCAGAAAATCTGCTGCAAGCGGAGGTGAAGAAACTGAGTTTGGGAGTATGGGGCAAGCCCTGACATCTTCTTTCTTCCCCTGCAGCACGCCTGGCACTTCTTGATAAGGGTCACCTGCTTGAACTCGGTTTTTGGAAAGGCAGAAGACTTTGAAGGGGGCATTTGGGACAGGAAAGTGGGTATATGGAAGTGTTTCAGTCATTTTTCACTATTTGTTGCCTCTGTTATTTATTTATATTGGAATTAAAGTTTTATTCTTGTACAGGTCTGTGTTTTCAATCAACGCATGCCGTGCTTTATCTGCGTGGCATCGGTCTTGCGGCTGGTGGCTGCTATTGGAGTCATGAGTCTCCTTTGAGGGGGAGCACTGCTTTCATTTTGGTGTGGTGGGTGCTTTTGGCAATGAGGGGTGTCCCGTGGCATCCATAACCACATGGAGGAGGGGATGTGACACCCACAGTTGCCATCCGAGCCTGAATTCGGGGTTCAGGTATTTAAGTGTTTGTTTCGCCACATGCCCACATAGTTTTACCACTGAAGGCATGTGATGTAAAAAGGAGGTGTTGGGAGGCCTGCAAAACTGGGAGCGGGATTTTAATCTTGGGGTTTGGCTCCTAGCTGTGGCAGCGATAATGAGACCTATCAAAAAATGGGGGGTGTGGCACCTAGCACACACCGTAGCCACCCGAGCCTGAATTTGGGGTTCGGGCATTGAAGTGTTTTGCTGAGCGCCCACACAGTTTTAATGAAGAGGTCATCTCTAGTGAAGTCAGGGGCTCGTAATGCGATTTTCCTGAATGCGACTGTGCTCCTGTGCACCTGGATGCTTGGCATGGTTCAAGCACCCCGATCTTCAACTTCCTGGCACACCCTAGCTCTCAGTACATTGACATTTGAGATGACTAACACAAAACGGTCAGTTTTAAAGATTTATTTAATGTAATTCATGAACTTAAAAAAAGAGGTCAGCTGAAGATTGAGCCATGTCAGGCTGTGCAGCTACACCCGGTGTGCTAAAACACTCATTACACGGAATACCTGCACATTACACTGCAAATGACCTGCAAGTACCTGGGACATGTAGTGGCACCTGGTGAGCAAGGAGGTTCAGGACACGTCATTTAGTGAGTTGCCATGTACACGTGACCGATTTTTTTGTCCACAAAAACAATTTGCCACGTTCAAGCTAAACGGCATCAGGATGTAGTCCAGTTTTCCACAATGTAGGACAATGCGATACACCCAAACCTCGTATTGTCTAGCTTTATGGTGTCACCAATGGTGAATTTCATCACACATACGTGGGAAAATCGTCATGTATACAAGCACCCGATCTGCTCATCTCCACTTTTAACCTACACCCAGATCAGATTTGGGACCACAGCAGGCTGGCGGTCTGTTCTGGGGTAGACAAGAGGACTCTTCAACTGGGCAGAACCCAGATGTCCTGGCCCCGAGCCCTGCTTATCCGAGCCACCAGCCCTGCAAGGCGGGGCTGGTCCCAACCACAGCGGCATTCTCCTTTCTGCTCTCGCTGTTTGCTCTCCGTTTCGATTCTCACCAGAGCCGTGACAGAGCAGGGCCGGCTCTGAGCCCAGGCCTCTGGGACCCGGCAGCATAGCCCTGAGGCTCCCATCCCCCTGCTCCAAGCCCACACCCCCACTGCAACCTGGGGGCCGGGAGAAGACACGGTTCCCCTGGGCCCCTGCCCCATGGTGCTCATGGGGGTGGGAGAGGCGGCGTTTCCTAGTGCATGTTGGGCTGCGCAGTTAGAGCCTCCTTTCCATTTCAGCTCCTTGCGGGGAACGCGGGCAGGCAAACAGCGGGTCTGGAGGGTGTCACCCCCACCCACCCCAGCAGTTACCTTCTCTTTACTGCCCCCCCTCCCCGAGTCCTGGGTCTGGAGGACAAATAGAAAATGGGCCCCTCTCTCCACGGCCTCGCCAGCCTGCTCGCCCCTCCGGCTCAGGACAGGGCTACATGTGGGGCACGTGGGGCTGTGCAGGGGAATCCCAAGGACACTCCCAGGCTGGGGCCCTGGCGCTTGTGCTAGGAAAGCAGCTCTGGGCTGGAGGGACAGCCACCACTACGGCCACGCTCAGTCCCCTGGCATCACTCTGTACCCACTGTGGATGAATCCCTTCTGGGTCTCCCCGGTCCTGAGCTGCTTCCTGCCGTCTGGCGACTGGGTCTGCAGTAGCTCCTTGCATACCTTGGCGGTTGGCGTCCCGTCATCTCTCCCTCCAGCAGCTTAAGCCATGAGCTAGGACCACTGCCTTCCCCCCTGCTCTTTAGCCTGGTGGGTTTCCTCAGCAGCTCCTAGCTCTGAAGCTGGCCTCTGCATAGCTGTCTGCCTAACTGCTGGTATTAGACAGGCTGGGCCTGGGGAGCAGCTTGAGCTGTCTGCATGTGCAGGGTGACCCAGGGCGTAACTGGGCTGGCAGGGACTGTACAGCAGTGCGCCAGGTGGGAGCAGGAGGCAACAGCAAGGAGGACCGAGGCTGCAGGCCTGGGTGCACCTGCGAGACGCTGCTCCCTCCAGAGCTGCAGTCGTGCGAGGCTACCCCGGCCTCCTCCCCGTCCCAGGACAGTGGGGCTGGCAGGCCGGAGGACCAGGGCTCCCGGGGTCTCTCCCATCAGGGTTCATAGGTAGAGCAGGAGGTGTCAGATGCCTCGGGCTGTCTGATACTCCAGCGCCAGGGAAGCCAGCCCTGGGCTCGCGTTGCTCCTTTGTGCAGCCCCCTGCGGGGCAGCAGCCAAGTCCAGATCCCTTCCGAAGGCTTCTGCAAGCCCTCACGCATCCAGACACTACCCGTGTCCAGACCTAGAGAAGCCTGATCCCTACACCTGGGGGCTCCCAGGAGGCAACATTTCCCCATACACAGATGGGGCAGCCAGAGGCCTGCAGGGTCTGGGGCAGGGGAGGAGGGCCCCACAGGGCCAGAATCACTGACGACCCCAACAGGCTCCACAACAGCTGGAGAGCTGCCTCCCCCTGCCCCTGCCCGCTTGACCCTCACACAAATGTGCAGGGCTGGGCACTGCCACTGGCCCCACCCATGCCTGTTCCCTGCCCTCCTCTGGGTGCTCCCGACACAGCGCCCACGGTCTCTGGCCCCGGGGACCATGCTGCTAGGTGCACTCTGCTCCTCTCCCCACGTGGCCGCGCTGGGAGCTCCTCACTCCCGGCTGCTGCTTCCCATCCCTTCCACTTTACACCACCTCTCCATGGCACGTCCCAGGGTCCAGAGCTCCCGAAGCTGTGGGCCGCAGTCCAATACCAAGCCAGTGCTGACCGCAAGCTCTGCCCTGGCTGGCTCTGCCCGTGGCCCCCTCAGCTCCTTCCTGGGAGCCCGGCTGAGCTGCCAGCAAAGGCAGCTTTTGCTTGCAGTTACCGAGGCAGTTAACCATCCACCTTGTAACAGCTGCCTGCGGCGCGCACGTCTCTGTCCCTGCACAAGGGCAGGTTGACGTGGGACCTCGTTACAAGCCTGAGCTCCACCGTCCCCATCACCCCAACTAAGTGCCAGCGCACGCTGGCTGCTTGCGACCAGCCTGCCCTCCTCAACGAGCCCACACGCGGCTTCTTCCTCACGTGCTCCTGTAACGTGTCCGGGACCAGTCGCAGCTTACGTGTCCCCACCCCTCTTCCGCGGAGTTCTCAGCAAATACCCTTCATACGTACCTTCGCCAGGCTGAGGAAGCATCCGCAGCTGGCGCGCGCCCTTCCTGGACGGAGGGGGAAGGAGAGAGGCCAGAGGCTGGCGCGCGTGCGAGGCAGGCAGGCAGCCAAAGTGTACATCGAGGCGCCAGTGGGCGAGAGAGGGGGGCAGGGGGGAAGGGGCGCGAATGCAGCCGGCAAGCAGCGGAGCGGGCCCTGGGGAGCCAGGACTCCGGCAGGTTACTCCGTGTCATAAACCCAAGGTCTATATTTACTCCACGGTCTTTTTGTATCCAGAGGCTGATGAGGCGAAGCCCGCAGGCTCGGCTGCGAGAGGCGTCGGGACTTTATTCACGAGTCTAACCATACATTAAAAGACTTGACATTCAAAACCACGTCCCGTCCTCCAAAATACACGGAGCCATCCCGGGGCCGCAGGGCCGCGGAGACGGACCAGCCCGGCGCCCGGACCAGGTAACGGCCCCACGCCCCCTGCCCTGAGCCGCGTCAGCCCGCTGCCCGCACCCACCTGCCCTCACCACCCTGCCCCGCAGGTCGCTGGACCGGGAGGCCGAGCCCCTGGGCCCCGGCCCGGCCTTGGCTGCGTCCCAGCATGCCAAGATCATCTCCCGCCAGCTCCACGAGATCCGGCGGCTGGAGGCGGAGCTGGCCGGGACGCGCGCCACCGCCCTCCAGCAGGAGGCGACAGGGGCCCCCCGCGCCAGCACCGTCGCCCGCCTGCAGGCAGAGGCTGATGGCCTCAGGACGGAGCTGGGGGCCCTCCGGGTCCAGAGCCAAGTGGAAGCCGACGCCCTGAGGGCGGAGCTGGAGACTCTCCAGGGGCGGAGCCGAGCAGAGGTGGATGCCCTCAGGGCGGAGCTAGCGGGGGCCACCGCGCGGCAGGTGCAGGTGCAGGAGGTGGCGGCCGCGCAGGGGGAGCTGCGGGCGGCGCTGCAGGAGCAAGAGGCTGAGACCCAGCAAATGAGGGAGCGCCTGCAGGGGGCGCTGGACCAGCACCGGGTGGAGGTGAGCAGCAGCCGGGACCTTGCCTGGGTTGTCTCCAGCTCGAGGAGGGGGGTGAGGGTAGGGCTGGGAGCCAGGACTGGCAGGTCCCCTCCCGGCTGGGGGAGCGGGGCTGGGTGGGCGAGTGCGAATCCAGGCTGCCTGCCTCCTTTCCAGCTGTGCCAGCTGTCCGCAGCCCACGGGGCAGAGCGGGGCGCCCTGACGCAGCAAGCCCGTGAGCTGCGGGAGGAGCTGGAGGCCCGGGGACAGGAGGCCGCCCGTCTGGAGCAGCAGCGAGACGCGCTCCAGGAGCAGCTGAGGTAGGCCGCTGCCCTGGCGGCCCCCAAGAGGTGCCAGGCCCACCAGGTGACCCCGTGTCCTCTGCCCCTGCAGTGTGGCCAAGGCTGAGCTGGCCTCCCAGAATGCTTTGCTGCAGCAGCTGCGAGCCGACCTGTGCGAGCAGAACAGCCCCCCTCAGGAGCGCCTGCAGGTAAGGAGTGGGGCCGGGGCCAGGGCCGGAGAGCTCACTGCCGGGAGTACCGACAGCCTCTCCCACAGCAGGCGGAGGCAGAACGGGATGCTCTGAGGACCGTGGTGGAGCTGCTGCAGGTCCGACTGGCTGCGCTGGGCGACATCCTGGCCCTGCAGGAGGCAGAGCTGACGCGGAAGGTGAACGGCCTCAAGGCCACGGGGCACGTCCCTTGGTGGCTGGGCTGGCACCAGGTCCCTGGGGCGGCTGTGGGGACATGGTGTGGTGGGGAGATCCAGCAGGGTGCAGGGGGAGGCTCTCCCATGCAGGGGAGTGGGTGCCGTGCCCTGAGGGTACTAGGGGCTCTGTGCTGTACAGGGCCTCACTAACTCCTTCCTCTCCTCGTGCTCCCAGCCCTGGGACCCCCTGCAGCCTGAGGGGGCCCTGAAGGCCCAGGCCCTGCTGAGCCGCTGGCGGGAAAAAGTTTTCGCCCTCATGGTGCAGCTCAAGACCCAGGAGCTGGGCCAAGCCGAAGCCACTGGCCTGCTCCGCAGTAAGGTGTGTGCTGGGGCTGGGGGGATGCCTGGATCTCCTCCAGGCTCTGAGGGCCAGGGGGGAAGTGGTGATGGATTAGAGCAGAGGGGGAGCTCTGTCCAGGCTCTGGATGGAATGGTGCACTGAAAACATCAGCTCCCTGCTCCACCGCTGACGGAAAGGCAAATAAAGCATTAGGGATCATTAAGGGAAGTACAAAGAAATACAAATAATGCAATAAGGGAAGTACAATACAATAAATAATACAATAAGGGAAGTACAAAGAAAACACAGTACCATGATGCCTATTAATAAGTCTGTGGGGCATCCACACCTTGAATACCACACCCGGTTCTGGCCCCCACACCTCCAAAAGGAGATTGCACCTTCTCCAGTTCCGCTGAGAAGGGTAGCAAGGATGCTGAGTGGTCTGGAGCGGCTCCCACTTGAGAGACTAAGGAGGCCAGGCCTGCTTACCTTAAAAAAATTGACACTTGGGGGACGTGAGAAGGGTGTACAGAGCACTAAGTGGCCACTAACTAAGGATTTATTGTTTACCATCTCTCGCCAGACGAGAACGAGGGGTCTCAACATGAAACTAGCGGGTAGCAAACTTAAAACTAACGGCAGCGAGTTCTCTTCCATCCAGCGCGTTATTCAAGCGTGGGACTTGTGGCCACCAGATGTGGTGGAAGCTGCCAGTTCACAAAGGGACTGGGCATGTTTCTGGAGAAAAGGGGCATCCACAGCTGTTGAGCAGGGAGTAAGGGGCACAACCTCTGCATCAGAGGTGCTTGGACCTTCAATGCCAGAGTCTGCAAGGGAGAGAGGAACGGGAAAATCCTGCTCGGACTCTGTTTGCTCCGCCGTCCAGCCTCCGCTCTGTGCCACTGTGTGACACAAGCCTATTTGAAGTGCCAGGGAGCACGGGCCTAGGCACACCGAGGCAAACTGTAAGCCTCCCTTGCTAAGAGGGGCCCCCACAGAAGCACCAGCAGATTCTTTCAGGCAAATAAAAGACAAAACACAGACAGGAGTGAGGTCAGCTTTAAAGCAAGTGGTTCAAGCAGGAACACCAAGCAGATCACACCTGCTGGCCCTCGAACACATCTTGGGAACCAGTGGACACTGCCCAGTGAGATGCCTGGAGGCGGGATCGGACCAGGGACAGAAAAGCAGTGCTGCAGGCCTTGGGGTCCCCTCCAGCCAGCATCTCATTCCTGGTCAGGCATATCGTCAGCTTGGCTGTGGCCAGGTGGAGGCCATTTAACACAGGAGATTGGGCAAGATGAACCTAAGGTCTGCCCCAGTATGTGGCAGCTCTTGTGTTCTTATGGGAGTGGGGTGTGATGGATCAGAGCAGGGAGGCTGGGAACCAGGGCACCTGGGGTCTCCCAGGTTTGGAGGGGAGGGGAGGAAAGAGGAGGGGAGGGGGAGCCAGGACACCTGGGTTCTATTGGTTCTGTGTTTCGGCAGGTGTCAGAGCTGGAGGGCGAGGTGGCGCAACGGGACCAGCAGGTCGCGTTGCTCTTGCACAGTTTGCAGGAGAAGACAGCTGAGGCCGACATGGAGAGAGTGAAGAGCAAGGTCTGGCCCGGAGCAGGACGAGCTCTTTTCTTCTGGGGGCACCGTACCCAGCTGGCCAGGGGTGCAACTGGCTCTGGGGGCTAGGGGTGGGCGGTGCCCTCCTTTCTGGGTGGTGCCACCCTGAACCAGCCCAGGGACACTGGTGGGGAGACAGCACTGGATCTGAACCCCACTCTCTCTCCTACAGACGCTCCAGGCTGACCTGTCCCACAGCAAGGACTCAGGGCAGCGCCAGCAGCTCCGGGCAGAAGCGGCTGAAGGCGCCTTGCAGGGCCTGGTGGAAGCTGTGAGGAGGTGAGGCAGGGGCATGGGACCACTGGAGCAGCCTGGTCTCCCAAAATCCCTTGTTGCAGCGGCAGGAGGCAAGTCACAAAGGAGCCTCTGACCCCAGGCCTTGCCCTCCACAGTCTGCAGCAGCAGGTCGGGCAGCAAGAGGGGGAGCTGCGGGCGGCCGTCTCGCGCCTAGCTGGTCTGGGTGCTCGTGTTGGCTTCGCTGCCAGGAGAGTAGACGCCATCCAAGGTGAGGGGTGGGGCTGGGCAGAGCCTGAGCACAGGCCCTGCCCCAGGGACTCGTCTTCCCCATGTCTCAGCGTGACCCAAGGGGTGCAAGGATCTATCTGTCCTGCCACTTCCTGTTCCAGACTTTCCAGCCATGCTCTTGGCTCTGTCTTGTCCTGCCCCAGGGAGCTGTGTCTCAGAGCTATAACTGCTTCTTTGGCCTGCAGGGCTCGTCTCCCAGAAAGTGGCCTTGGCTCGACTGCAGCGGGAAGAACCACCCAGGGCTGCCAGCCCAGAGCCAGATATGTGAGTCCCTGCAGCCCCAAGAGGAGCGAAGAGGAGCTGGGGTGTGGGGCTGGGAGCCGGATACCCTGATGCTCTCCCAGCTGTGGGAGGGACGTGGATTCTGGTGAACTGGTTGGATTCCAGGTGCCTGGGTCCTGTCCCATTCCTAGGAGGGGAGCAGGGCTTGGGGGATGGGTGTCCTAGGGGCTAAGAGCCCACCTGGACACCTGAGCTCTCTTCTGGTCTGGGAGTGAGGTGGGGTCTGGTGGGTGTGAGGCTGGCAGCCAGGACACCTGGGTCTGTGTTCTGGGAGAGGAGTGAGGCTTGCTGGTTTGGAGTGGGGGGCGGGGATGCTGGGAGCCTAGATACCTGGCTGCTTTCCCTGCTCTAGAAGGGGAGCAGGATCTGGTACGTCAGAGCAGGGGACTGGGAACTCAGGTGCCTGGGTTCTCTGGGAGGGCAGCAGGGTCCAGTGGGTCAGAGTAGGGGGGCCAGGAGCCTGGACACTGTATGTGTTTCTTGGCTTCTGGAGGGCCATGGGCTGGGGCCAGCAGAGGCTGCGTGGCTGACCCTTTCCTCCCCTCCAGCCCCTTCCAGGAGGCTCTGCAGGTGGAGCTGGCCCAGCTGCACCAGGAGCGGGACCACTTGGCTGCTGAGCTGAAGCGCGGGGCCCAGGCTGTAGAGAGAAAGATGGCTGAGGCCCGGGAAAAAGGTAGGGCTGGGGGGTGCCCCCGTGGCTGGAGTTGGGACCACAGCCGTGGTGGTGGCTGCAGGCTGGGGTCCTGTTCCCCCCAGGTCAGTACCTCTGTTCTGTCTCTGCTTGGGCCACAGCGGGGCGCGAACTCCAGGAGGTGGCCGACAGCCTGCGGCAAGTGCTGGAGGAGAAGGAGGCGGTGGAGCAGGAGTGCCAGGAGCTGCAGGGGTGGCTGGAGACGGCGCGCCAGGAGCTGCACAACAGCCAGGAGGCGGCAAAGGGACTGAAGCAGCAGTTGGCGCAGCTGCGGGGGGAACACGAGCGAGGTAGGGCAAGGCAGGGCAGGCTGCCTGGAGGGGCAGAGGGGTCCATTGGGGACACTCTGACCTCTTCCCCCTGCAGTCTTGCAGGAGAAGGTGGCCCAGGTGGAGACGCAGCTCCGTGGGGACCTTGCTGAGGCTGAGAAGCAGCTCAGCGAGGCGCGACGGGAGCACACAAAGACAGGTACAGGACTCCCGTCCCTGCAGGGCCCCTGGCTCCTCACCCAGCCTCCCTCCACCGCCACAGTTCTCCTTCAGCCCTGCCGTCTCTGCAGTTGTGGCCCTGCGCCAGGCTGAGCGCCAGGCTGCTCGGGACAAGGCCCGGAGCCAGGAGTTGGCGCGGCTCCACGACGAAGCCCAGAAGGAAGAGATAACTCGGCTGGGCACTCGCCTACGGGAGCTGGACAGGGACAGAAACCTGCTGATGGTACATACGAGGGGCAGGAACAGGCTCCCCTTGCTCCCCCAGCTCTGCTGGCAGCCCGCGTCCCGACCCTGGCCCCGACCCCACGCTGACCACAGCTCCTTCCCCTCCAGGCCACCCTGCGGCAGGAGGGGCTCCTGGCCCAGTTCAAACGTAGCCGAGTGGCGGCACGGAAGCTGCCAGGGGAGCAGCAGGGGCCCGGCCTGGACGCAGCACTGGGGTCCTCCGGCTTGCAGCCACCTTCCCAAGGTACGCACCTGCCCCCAGCCCTGACCTGGCCTGCCTGGGCTTTGCACTCCCAGCCCTTCATGGCTCCCTCTGCCCCCAGCATCCCTGGCTGCCCTTCTGGACGACCTGCAGAGCCTGGGCACGGCCCTGCTGCGGGAGGAGGAGGAGGAGGCAGCCACAGCGGTTGAGGAGCCTGGTACTGAGGACACCTAGCTCCCAGCACGTCCAGGTAGCACCAAGCTGGGAGGATCGAACTGGCCTTTCCTGTGTCGATTAAAGAGGGTTTTCTTGAAGCACCAGTGTGTCTGGTGCTCATTTTCTCAGTGAGACCTGGCAGAGGACCCAGGCCTCCAGCCATCCTCTCCTTCCCTCACAGCTCGCCCCAGTGGATCACAGCCGGGTGGGCGTGGGGGGTCCCACGTGCTCTGGACCTGGTGTCAGATGAGATGCTAGTTGGAGGGGGGATGGATCCAGCTCCCAGGTGCTGTCTGCCGCCTGTCCTCTGCTCCTGCCCTATTCCCCTCCCTGAGGGCTCCTGTCTCCCCACTGCTGGCGCAGGGGACGACACCCGCCTGGCTCAGCTAGGGCAGACGTGCAGGGAATTCTGCGTAGCGAGGTCCTGAGGGCAGGGAGCTGCGTGGACATTCCCACGAGCCCTGAGGAGGTGGCGGAGAGGCAGAAAGGAACCCCGCAGGGCAGGGGAGGGGGACTGGCAGCTGAGGAGAGGTAGCAGCTCTGATGGAAGCTGCAGTGGAGCCTGGGGCTAGCGCTGGAGATGTGGCGCCCAAGTGTTTTGCATGTGAGAAAATCTCCAGCCTGATTTGTTCAGACATGGAACCTGAATCCACCTCTGAGCTGCTGGCCCCTGGGATCTCCACATGGGGTGGGCACTGGGCAGGGGAGCCTGTGCCCTTTTGTGGTCCTGAGGACAGCCTGGGTGGCAGCCAGCAGGTTTGGGGTCCCAAGGGCAGCTGAGAGATATCTAGGGAAGGAAGGACTGTTGTTTCTGGTGCTGTGGTATGATAGGAAGTGTTTCCGTGGGTTCCCAGCCCCACTGAGGGTTGTCTCTGAAGCCAGCAGCCAGCTTTTGTCTTGCAGCAAACCCCAAACTTCAACTGATCAGCTCCTCAGCCCCCGCTGCAACCTGTGACCTGCTCCGTTTAACACTTTGCCTCAGAACAATCATGCCTAATGCCATTTAAACCTGATGTGTACGTGGCTGTGCCAGTCTGTCTGATAGGAGTCTTATTCCAGCTTGCTCAGGGCCACCTCCAGGTGGTGGTCTGTTTTCAGTCTGACCTGTCCCCTGCAGCCTGTAACTTGTCCTGAGCTTTGACTCTCAACTGCTTTTGATGTGGAAACAGGCCTCTAGGCTGCATGTGTAAGGGACTGTCCTGAAGGGCAATGAACATGAATTAGCCCTAGCAGTGTTATCCGGGTCCTTCATCGGTACTTAGGGCGGGACGATGAGTTTGTGCCTCCGCAGAATCCCAGAATAAAAGGCTGTATCCCAGGGAAGCTGGTTGTCTGTTTTCAGCCTTGTAGGTCACGTTTCTGCTGCCCAGTTTCCTACAGTCGCATTCCCCATGCGAGCTGGAGGGGAGAGCAAGGCTGCAGCCTTCACTGCCACAGATTGCGCAGCCGAGTTTCCCTGCCCATGGAAAAATCACAGGGAGCAGCTCGCCTAGAGCACACGGGGCCAGCCTCGCCCTGAAAGAGTCGCCCAGGTGATTGTGATGTCTCCCCTGTCAGGTAAGGATGCCCCTAGTTGGCCCCACCTATGCTGTGCTGCACCATGCTTGGGTGAGGGCAAACGCATGGACCCATTGCTGCCTGCCCCCCCTGCATGGCGCAGCTCCCACTCCCTGCCCTGTGGCCAGTGGGGCACAGGACATTGTGATCATGAGGCATGAGTCAGTCTGTTTAGTACTAAAAAGAGCTGTATAACCCTGAGGGTTGGACGTTTCTCCTGCACTGACCCGTAGGTGGTCATGCGGCTGCCAGGGCACCTCCTCTGGCATTTGCATGGGCTCTGGGTTTTGTCTACATGTGCAGAGCTGTGCTTGCCCGGGCTTCCCTCCTGAGCTGGCCCACAAGCTCCTCTTTGCTCACCAAGGCTGCTGCCCCGGTGGGCGTGTGTATGTGTGTGTGGTGCCAGGCACTTCCCTGAAGCTTCAACTGCAGGAAATGCATGGCTTGTGATGCTTTGGGGGCAGCGGCGGGTCCTCCCATCTCTTTTAGCCCAACAGTCTAGCGGTTAGAGCACTTGCTAAGGAGCCAGAACTACCAGACAATGGACTGGGCATTGAAAGTCAGTTGCATTGCTGTTCCTAAAACAGGGCTACATGTCCCATGGCTGTGATGTGGGTGTGCAGGACTGGGACATGTGGAGAGCTGGTGTGAGTGTAATGCGCCCAGAGGGCAGGTGCAGTGACTGTTCCTGCAGCGCAGAGGAGCTGCACCTACGTACCCAGGGACATAGCACAGCAGGAGGTGGTGGGGCTGTGGCATAGCTCCTCTCTGCACCAGCTCTTGGAGCTGGCCAGGCAGAGGTGCCAGCTCCATCCAGACTGATATCGCAGCCTGGTACACTCCCCTGTTGTTCCTGCTAGAGCAGGGCACTTTGATCAGCGTGACGTGTTGATGCCTGAATGCCACAGCGGGGCACTATGCAGTGTAAAGGAAGTCTATACAGATGTTGATAATGGGGCAGGTTCTAGGGCTAAATATTATTCCTGAAACAGCAGCACCCAGGGAGGAGTACGTCCAGGGTTTCACCAGCTGTCTGCTGTATATCTCGCTCAGGAAAATCTAACTTCACCTTCCACACTGCTGAGAGCTTACTACAGATCATCTGTTTGGAAGTGGAAGTGTATGTGGTATACAGAGTGCTGTCTCGCTGCGGTTGCCAGATGTGACCTTCTACCCAAGAGGATTCCATCTGAGACTTTCAGAAACAGACCGTGTCTTTCTTTATTCATCGAGAGAGAATACCGCCGCCTCTAAGAAACAGACCAACCTCCGAACTTTTACCTTTGTCCACGTATTATTGTTTGAGCCAATGTCCTTTGATTTGTTCGTGTTTTATAAACGTAGCAGATTTATTACCTGCTCCTCATTGTTTTGTAGTCCTGGGGGTCGCAGTGTTACTGCGGGAATTTTCCTTGTGACGTTGTTTGTGCTGATTCTTGAGGCCAGTCCTTGCTAGTTTTTATGGATGTTGGCGTCCTGTTAATAGATGGCCAGTAAATGATCCAAAACTTGTCCAAGGGCCGTATTTCTGCACCCAGACGCATTTCAAAAATGGATTCTGTGGCCCCTATTCGGCTATTAGCAGCTCTTCGTTAAAAAGAGAGCTACAATTCCACAGGGCTTCCCAAACCTTCCTACTATCCTGGCTTTGTAATGCAACTGCCAAAATTTGCTGTGTACCAGGAACTGGGCAATTGAATCATCTTGGGAATCCAGCTTTAATACAGATTTCTGAATATTGCCTTATTTTTATATGCTATTTTCTTGAAAGTATGAAAGGACTTGTTAAGCCGAATCCAAGTGTAAACACTGTCCAAATGTCCTGCCTGGACTTCTCAGCCCTTGATGCTTCTCCCAGTCTTGAAGCCTGAAGGCTTTTGTAACCATCCAAGCTGCAGTCACTTATTTTGTGAATCTGATTCTTTTCCTGTGTGCGCCAGATGTGGCAGTCAGGGAATTCTGTTAAGGGCCACTGGTTCTCAGTGACTTGTCTCAATTTTTTTGAAAAATGACCCTTTTAGGCATACCTCATCCAAATTGATCCATGTATGATGAGCTTTCCTTGGAAGAAAGCACTATTTCTAGTACTGCAAAGGAAATAGCTGTATGCTGGCTGCCTTATTTTAACATTAAAAGACAAACAAACAACCCCCACCCCAAAACTTTGCTACAAGAAACACTCTTTCAAAATTCCTGGTCCAGACTGTGTAGGGTTGTAAAGAAATGCATTCCAGTAATTGGTGTCATATTTCCACTCCAGAAAGCCAGTTCTCAATACAAGTATTGGATACAAGTAAAGCAGATACATGAGCTAGAAAGTTTGGAGCAGACAAAGGTTGGACTGTACTCCAGTGCATTCCAGAATGGGGTGCTTGAGGGGAAGGAAAGCCGAAGAAGGAAAAAGGGAAATGTTTTCAACGAGCAATAATCACGCCTCAGCTGGGCCTCGTTGGCTACAATACTGCCACCACGCACAAAAGTTGGAAAAGAGCAAGAAGGAAAACTGAAGAGCTCTACAGTATTTGTCAGGTAGTTGAAGACATTATGATGGCATAAAGTGTTGCTTTTTATTATCCATATCCTGGAATCGAAGGGGAGTGTGCAGCAGTATAGCAAACCTGCAAAGGGTGGTAACACAAGGTTACGTGTAAACCATGACCCTAGCCATTCCTCGGTTCTCATATGGATGTGGCTGGTGCGCTGTTGTTTGTCAGGCGGGTCAGTGGAAGGTAACAATTTCTGCCTCGTCTCTGAGAGTGCTGTTCTATTAGGGTTGTAATTCTCTTGTTGAGGGTTTGTGTATTTTGCTGTGCTCTGCTCTCTCTTACTGGTCAGCACAGCCAGCACGTGCCCCAGTGACACCCAGAAGCAGGTGTAGGCTATTTCAGGGCGCAGGGCCTGGAGGGCCTCTTGCCCTGCCCGCCTGCCTGGAGCCCAACAGGGATAGGCTGGGACAGAGGGAAGACTGTCTCTCCACTTCTTTTACTGTGATTGAAGGGTGGAGGCAGAGGATGCTGGTTTAAATCACGTTCTGATTGGCCAACTGCTTGGCTTCCCTCCTGATTGGCTGCTGTCTCCCTTCCCCCAGCAGGCCTATAAAACAGGACAAAACCAAGACAGCTACTCTTTAATCACCCTGGAGCAGTAACCTTTTGTGGGCTAAGGTCAAGATCGAGCATAGGGAGTATTTGAAGTCCCAGACTAAAGAGTCTGGGATGCAGGATGCTTGCCTGTAGTAACTGGAGGTATCTGAGCATGAACGGTGCGTGCCCCCAGTGGCTGGGGGGCATGGCTGCGCCAGTGGCGGTGGGGGCGCAGCAGCAGGGAGCTCCCGCAGACGCTGCTGGCACTGTTGGCGGGGGTGGGGGTGCGGAGCACCAACCATGCGTTGGCGACCACCCGCAGGGGGTAGTGCCTTTTTGCAGGGGGTGCACGTGCACCCGCATGCACCGCCTACGCATCACTCCTGCATCTGAACCACAAAACCCCCGGGCTTGGGCCTGCATGTAGGATGCCTGCCAATGGATTTGGGAGCATCTGAAGTCCCAGGGAGATAGGATGGGTGTCATGAAAGACCACAGAATGAACGTGAGCCACCAATGTGATGCTGTAGCTGGCAAAGTGAATCAAACACTGGCAAGCATCTACCGATGCATCTCAAGCAAGACTAAGGATGTCATCCTCCTGCTCTACGCGGCCTTGGTGAGACTGCAGCTGGAGCACCGTGTCCAGTTCGGGGCGCTGTGCTTCAGGAAGGATGTGGAGAAACTCGAGAGTCGAAAGGAGGGCCATACGCATGATTAGGGGACTGAAGAACAGGTCATACAAGAGAGGCTGAAAGACTTGGGACTGTTCAGCCTGGAGAAGAGAAGACTCGGAGGGGACTTGGTGGCAGCCTATAAGTATACCAGGGGAGCGCATCAGGGCCTGGAGGAGCACCTGCTCACCAAGACCTCCCAGGGGAAGACAAGGAACAATGGACACAAACTGCTAGAAGATCACATCAGATTGTACATAAGGAAAAATTTCTTTACAATTGATTTCTTATTCCCAGTTTCCAGTTCCTTTTTCAAACCTAATCCTTTCACAGTTAATGGTTTTTAGTAATGAATTGCACAAGCTAGAATCAGGATTTCATCAAAACTATGTATAGGCAGTCGTCAACTTTACGATGTTCGAGTTATAAACATCCTAAGTACTGTTCATCATGGGTTGACACCCTGCTTCAACTTCCCGTTGTCAGTTTTGACTCTACAGTGCTTGGCCGGCTGCAGAGCGGGCGTCAGGGGAGGCGACCAGTGGCCAGACGAGGAGCAGGGGGCTTGCATGCAGCGGCATGGGGCAGTGGGTGGCGGCGGTGGCGGTCGCACCTTGCACAGCCGGTCACGTGTGGCTCTGTGGGCTGCTGACAGGCCTTGCACCCAGCCAATCGCACACCACCCATCAGCAGCCTTTGGGGCGGGATGTGCGACCGGCCATGTGGAAGCAGCGCGTGGCGCAGGGTGGTGGATGGCAGCGAGAAATAGGGTATTGGGCCTTGGTTCAGGAACGGATCCCCATTTATAACATTGTTTCTATGGGAAAATTGGTTCCAAGTTCCAACATCTCAAATTGCAACCTTTCAGCTTAAGACATGGTTTTCATGAAGCAACAGTGTGGTAAATCTGAGGACTGCCTGTCTTTACTCATAAAAATGTAACATAATACCATGCATTAAGTATGTAGCCCTGAAAGAAGACCTCAGATTAGGCTGCAATTATGCAGCAAAATCTTTTTCAGGTCACCCCAAAACATCTCTGCTGTCGGAGGACACTTCTGAACAAGTTGCTGCCCAACTGAAAGCGCAGGATTTGCGCACAAACCTGAAACCTGGCAGGCTCCCAGGCCTGAATAAGGAGCTGGGGTTTGTCTGGGATTATAGGTGGAAATCCTTTCCCGGTCACCCCAGACCAGACCATGCGACTCTGCCATTGGGGAGCTCTCTCAAAAGAGTCTGGGCAGAGTCCTG